TTATATTTACTTTGCAAAATACTTATGATAAATTTAAATTACAATTGTTTGATTTTATGAAAAATAAAAATATATAAACATGTATTTCCAGTCCTTAGGATGGGTTAAATTATGTCTTTTTTCTTTAAAATGTTTGGTTTTCTTACTAATTATGAGATGGATACGTAAAAAAAAGAAAATTGGATACATTTGGATACATTTTTGGCTAGGTCGGTGATAGATTTTCTTGAGACGGCGCGGCAACACTGTTCCCAATACGATCGCGCACGCACTTTGTCTGCTTTCGCCAGATACAGCACAAAAACCAGAGCTGCGCTATCTGTTAAGTTAGCAGGTTTTGGCTCTGACAGTAACTTTTCCATTTATGAGAGTCTTTCTGTTGTTAAGAGAAAAATTTTGCAAGCTGGAATTATGCTTAAAAAACTGAAAAAAACTGCGTAGTGTGTTTTCACGGCGAGGCGAGGTGTTTGTACGTGTGTCTGCTGACAGTGAGCCGGTTGCTGTACCCAGTAGCACGGACTTATTCAACATAATTAGTTATAACCAGGGAACGGATTTTTAGGACCTAAAAACCTATAAAAAAGGCAAAATAAAATAACGAAATAGGCTGGAAAAGGCAAAATAAAATAGTGAAAAAGGCAGGAAAAGGCACTAGGTGTTGCAAAAAAGGCAAAAAAAGGCAAAACAAAATAGCGAAAAAGGCAGAAAAAGGCACCAAAAAAGACAGAAAATACGAAGAACAATCAAAAAATACATTTATTTTAGAAATGTTTATATTACAAGTAAAAAGAGAAAAACTATGAACTAGTTTCATATATGGAAAATTTGTACTTTGAATCTTTGACTATTTTATCCTTTCGAGTTTCTAACTCATAAATCTTTAATCTGAATAGTTGTAGTAACATTGAACCACAAGATGCATTTTGAAGTTTTCTGGCAGCATTTTCATTCGATTTTCGCGAAGAAAAGCCTTGAATGTACTAAATGTGTGCTCGACGTAAGTTGATACAAGTGGAGCCCAATTTAAATATGGAACGTTTGAAACGTTCATATTATCAGGAATAAAGGCGTTTTCCTCGCCCTTTACAATTTTATCCACACCCCTTATTGTCTCCAAGCCTTCGTTAGCTGAGAAAACGGCTTTGAATTTTTCCAACACCAATTTGGCAAGAGGTCTCTGCGCTTCTATAAGCCGCATGGGCAATGTGTATGCTATAATCATTTTTTTAAAGGTAGAAAAGGCAAATATCTTAAAAAAGGCAAAAAAAGGCAACATGAAATGTGTATATATGGAATCAGAGAAAGCTAAATCATGGACATTCTTAATCGAATATGCTCTATCTCGTTAGCAGAAAAAAAGGCAATTTCCATAAAATCCATTCCCTGGTTATAACACATTAAATAATGTCTAACGTATATTGTTCCTCTGCCATTATCCATATTTGCATTATTTTTGTTTTTCCCTCCTCTTCGTTTTCAATCTCTGTTAAGTTAGTCAATAACCACCACTTTTCTGCTATTGATTAATTACTTGAAGTTGTCTCTCCCATATGTTATTCGTATTACGGCGGATAACTCATTTTCTAGCGTTGACGATAATCAGTTGGTACTGCTAGATTTTCTTTGTAAGCAAGGCAATGGGCTAAACGTTGTACACTTCAATGCTCGTAGCCAGTGTTCGGCATGAGAAAACGTCCCTCTTGGTCTGAAAAAATGCCATTTCCTACCCAAAAACGTCTTTTTCAAATGAATGTACAAAAAATTGTTCTTATTAAACTTTCATTGTATACAAAGGTACATATCAGGGTTGTTGCGAATATTCGCATTCGCATTCGCAACCGCGGAGCTCCCGCATTAATTTTAATATTCGCATTCGCAATAATCAATGCGGAGCTTTTGCGAATGCGAATGTTGTGCAAGTGCACCGGTAAAACGTATATCTGGCAAACAAAATCACAAAACATATTATGGATATTCATGGAAACGCGTAAATCCCTAGCAACCGCGTAAACTACGTAAATAATTAGATTTTTCATACAAAATTAAGTAAGTTTACGACGTTTACATGAAAAACGGCCGCTGTGGTGTAGTGGTAAGCAGTGCGCGCTTCGACTCCGCAGCGCTTGGGTTCAAGCCCTGGTTAAAGCAACATCGCAAAAAAATATAGAAAAATGTTTTTTTCTTAACAGCGGTCGTCCCTCGGCCAGCAATGGAAAACCTCCGAGTGCATTTCTGCCATGCAAAACAGCTTCTCATAAAAAATAGGTCCCTCCGCTTTGTGTGACAAACATCAAGGCGGACGCCACATATCGGAGGAGAACAAACACTAACATATGGGTGTTTCCATGAAAATGTCTACCAGGACTGAAAAAATAAAACCAACTGAAAAGGGGTTTTAAGACGAATTAATAAGAGAAAAATACACGAATTTTTATATTATAGAAGTATTTCAGCTTATTGGAATTTTAAAACTCAANGAATGTCTCTTCGACTCAGTTTTCTCTAATGAAATGAACTATTTTCTCTTTCCTATTAACTAAATTAAGAGATTTGAAACATTACAATTACATCTTAAAATCAAATTTGCAATAACAACTAACTATAAAAATGAGAAAAAGGAGAAGTTAGAGCTCGAATAACGGTAATTTTTTTTAATATGTCGCGTACGTTATGCAAAAACATTGTTTGTCTATGTCATTTGTATATTGGCAGTCGCAGGTAATGCAGATTACAATTCTTAAGCGAGAATTCTTCTAGTTAAAGATATACAGTAAAATTTTCTTTCCAACCGAAGTAAAAAAAATTGTATTACCCTTTAAAGTTTGTCGCATACGTTATTGTAAGTACGATAATTTCAATCAAATACATCAAAACCAATGTTAATTGTAAATTTTCCATTTAAATTACTTAGAATAGTTGGTNTTTCCATGAAAATGTAAACCGAAAATGCAAGCAAATGAATTCAAACGGCTTTATAACTTTAAATTTCGTATTCAGATGGCGGAAAAAGGTTTTGAAAACGCGAAACGGTGGAGAGAAGAACTGAAAAAATTTAATTTAGAATGTGTTACTAGTAAAAATATTGTATGGGGGAAAAATCTGTCGCGTACGTTATGTCGCGTACGTTATTATAATTTTTTTTAATAAAAACTAACCAGAGATAATTTCTATCAAAAAATTGAAGGATTGTAAAGGTACATTATTGAGCTTAGTTTAGGAATTTTTAAAGAAAAGAAAAACTCTCATGATTCGCAGACTTTCGCAAATATGTATATGTGCCTTAAAACCACTTCTTTTTTTGTCGCGTACGTTATCACCTGGTTTTGAACGGATATTTTCCACACCAAAGTTTCGAGGCTGCTAATTTTTTTCTCAAACATAGTACCCTTTGGTTGCAACATAACCGTAATCTTTTTTTTCTGTAACTTCTATTTTTGATAGATTTACGTTACTCTATAAGCGTACGAATGTCGCGTACGGCTGTATGGAAACACCCATATGTGTTAGCGCCAATCTATTATTATTATTACTATTATAAAAAACGGGCTGTTTTTTTTCAAGGAATGAAACCGGTTCAAAATAACGTTCCGGTTTGGGTTTCGGTTTTGCCAAGTGTTTCGGTTTCGGTTTTGGTTTCGTTCTTCAAAATTTATTTCGGTTTTGGTTTCGGTTTCGTTCCGGTTTCGGTTTTTCACAAATTTTGTTGATATTTTTTAAATCACAATGTCTTAAACGTTGAGGAAAGAAAATCGAAAATTACAGTTCACTGATAATATCAACACTAGGTTCTTTCCCTAACAATCCGGACCGGANATTTTTGCGAAAAGTTACCTTGCCATACTTATTTACTACTTAACAAGAATTTTAGCAAAATGTTGCTGATTTTGGTTAAATAAATCATTTATTTCAAAGAAATTTTTATTTATTATTTTTGTAAATTTCTGGAAACCGATTGAAACCTGTGATTGAAATGGTTTCGGTATCGTTCCTTTTCAGGTCAAGATAACGGTTACGGTTTCGGTTTCGGTTTTGAAAAACGAAACGGTTTTAAACGGTTACGGTTTCGGTTTGGGTTTCGGTTTCATTCCTTGGTTTTTTTTTTTAAATAACAATATTCTGATCCGATTCGGCTGGCAGCTAAGACTTTGAAAACAGATATTTGTTCAAAATTTTCATTCCTGGAAAATAATAGTTTATTTTGCATATCCACCTATTTACATCGCTATAAGGACACATTTTTTAAACCAGTCGCAGAAGAAAGTATTAAAAATGAATTACAAAAACTAAAATCGAAAATCGCTGATGAAGTTACAGATTCCCCAAATTCTGAAACAGCCAAAGAAATGAGAATGAAGAACTATTTTTAAAAAGCTTTAGAAAAACCTGACACATCTGGTTTGGCTTGTAAGCGCTGTTTAAACAACGATCCCGCCATTATGCTAGATTCTTATTGTTTCTGGAAAATACTTGACATCCGCATTCGCATCCGCATCCGCGGATGTTAGCTGTTAGACATCCGCATTCATACCATTAGAATTCATTGTAAACTGGTTTGAGATCGTTAATATAAAAATGATTTTATACATACACTTGTGATCAGCTGATTAAGTCATCAATATTTTGATCGATTTTGGCTTTTTCTCTTTTGTTTATTTAATGTTTATTATTTTTCCATAAAAGCCAAACTCATTATATAACAAACAAAATATAAACCCATATTTGAAATTTTGTGCAAAAATTATATAAAATCTGCAAAGTTTCAGCTATATTTTCAACTTTTTATTCAGATTTTTTTTTTTTGAGTATGCTGTTTGATAGCCCATTAAATTTCAGGGCAATAATGTGCAAGTTTAAAGGGGCAACATAATCGCGTTGATTTTTAATAATCTTTTTTCCTTGTAGACATTTAATTAGGGGGTGGGTTGTCGAAAATGCTAAATGCTAAGAAGGAGCATAGCAATATTTCAGCCTTTTTTACGTTCATTACATTTTCAATGAAGTCTTAAAAAAGTCGCCTACTTTTTTCTGACTTTTTATGCTTATGCAAAACACAAAGTTTGTAAAGATTTATTAAGAAAATAATTCAAAACCAGTTCTACTTATAAGATTTAGTAACAGAGAAAAATTACTGGGAAGTTAAAAAACGTCATTTTTTACACAAAAAACGTCCAAACTTCAACAGGATAAGAAGAATAAAAGACGTCCAAATGACGTTAAAAACGTCAACCTGGCAAAGCTGCTGGTAACCTTAATAATGAAAAATTGGATTATGTGAGACACTTATTTGAATCCTCGTCTGTCGAGGTGATTTGTGTCCCTGAGACCTGGTTCGATGCAGAACTTCCTGATAGTTTTCATTCCATTCTAAATTACAATATATATCGAAGATCGCGTGGGTAAAAGAGGCGGCGGGGTAGCTTTGATAGAGTAAAAATTTGCATATTTTATGTACTTATTATCTACGGTAGTCAGTACATGCTTCAGCCTAATAAAGTCAGTCTGTGAAAACAAAATATAATATAACAAAATATAATATAACAAAATATAGAGCTCAAGAACGTCGGTTGTTTTATTCGCAAACGTTACTTCCAAAATAATTCGGATTTAGAAAAATTGTGAAACTTGTATTTTTCTTTTATCGTTATGAAGCATAAACGGATAATTGCACAAGAAAAACTCGACCCTCGAAAAAATGGTGGCCCACTTCACAAATTTTTACTCTATAGTAAATTATTTTTAAATGCTAAAATTGTAAGTTGCTTGTCTACGTCTGAAGTTGAGTATTTGTCTGTTTAACTGTCTGATGCCAACAATAAAGTACTAGTGTCGTGTGTGTATAATTTCAATTTTTTGACGACATCTCTCAACGTCTTTTTGACTATGACCATTACGTTATCTGTGGCGATTTTAATGTTAATTTGCTTAAGCATGATTCCTTATCAGCTAGGTTTCTTGACTGTGTTGCATCTACTGGTATGTCCGCAGTTAGCAATGTTGTGCCTACGAGATTTTCTTGTAATAATCGTCCTAGTTTATTAGATGTGTTTATTGTCCCCGAATCAACGGGTGTTCGTCTGTTTGGTCAAATCTCTTTTAGTTCTGACCATGACCTTATTTTTTGCAAGTTTGATTTGAAATTAACATATGTAGTGGATGCAACAACACAATTCTCTTTTCGTGATTATAAGTCAATTGATTATGACACTTTGTTCACAGAACTAAATAACTTCCATTGAAATCATTGTTGTAATCTGGAAACTGCTACTGAGAAACTTGGCTTTTTGCAGAATAATATCTTATAATTTTTTAATAAATCTGTGGCTCTTCGCCAGTTCACAGATCCTGCTCTTGTCCGTTGTTTAGTCAAGAAGTGAATTCGGCTATTAAAAAACGCAACATTTTGTACGGAATATGGAAAAGAAAGCCATTCGATGAAACCTGGAATGCTTATAGAATTGCTCGCAATAAGGCGTCTATTTCGGTCCACCAAGCAAAGATAACATACTTTAGCACAAAGCTAAATTCCCGCTTGCCTGCCAAGCAGTTGTGGTCAAAGTTGAAACGGTTGGGTATGCGCTCGGGCTCTGAGGCTCCATGCCAACTCGATGCCGATTTCCTAAATGAGTTATTTGGATCCAAAAACTGTCCATCGGATATTGGTGCATTGGTTCCAAGGAGCATACCTGTTAAGTCTTACTTGGCAGAACAATTTAAATTCAATTCTGCCTTTGAGGACGAGGTAAGTGCGTTCTTCACAAAAAAAAAACAAATGCCGTGGGTGCAGATGAGCTCCCTATTAAATTCATCAACATTATTTTACCATATACATACATTGAGTAGTTTTACGCACACAACTAACACTGTACCGCAAAATCAACTTTTTTTTCTGGGTATTCACCAAACCAACTTTTTTTAAGAGATTCGAGTTATAAGTAAAAAACTAAGTTTCCCGTTTTTCGAAGTTAGCCTCCGAAATCGAGATATGGGCCTTCGAAGTTCGAAATAGGACCTTTGGTAAAAAATTGTATTTAATTATTGCATATAAATAACTAAAAACCTTAAAATACAGACTTAGGCCTCCCTTTGCTCTTATTTAAATGGTATATAACTTTGTTGTGCAAACTTATATTACAGGTGCTATAAAGGGTCAAAGTTCAGGTCTTCGAAAAATTAAAGTCCTTATATTTCAAACAATTTTGAGCTGATTTTTAAAAAAATTTAATCGTTGTAAAGGCGATCAAACCCCCTTTCTTTCGATATGCATATTTGTATACTTCGTATATTAAAAACTTTAGAAAAAACACATTTAAATGAACAAATACCTTTTTTATAAAAACAAATACTTTAAACAAAAAATTACTAACCGATTTTTAAAATCGTTAGTAACAGTGGATCGTTGTAACGACGATTACAGACCCTTTCTTCTGATATGCATATTTGTATACTTCGTATATAAAAATTTGAGCAAAAACACATTTAAAGGAAAAAACACATTTTTATAAAAAAAAATATTTTAAACAAAAAAAGTACTAACCAATTTTTAAAGGGTTGATATCGATGTGAAGGCGCTTAAACTCCCTTTCTCCGGATGTGCATATGTGTATAATTCGTATATAAAAATAAAAAAATACACATTTAATTAAAGCATATGTATCTTTTTTATAAAAAAAAAAAAAATTTTAACAAAAAAATACTAACCGACTTTTAAAAAATTGGTATCGTTGTAAAGGTGTTTAAACTTCTTTCTTCTGAAATGCATATTTGTATACTTCGTATATAAAAATTTTAGAAAAAACACATTTAAAGGAAAAATACCCCTTTTTTTATAAAAAAAAATATTCTAAACAAAAAAATATTAAAAGGAAAAAATACCAATTTTTTTTTAATAAAAAATATCTTAAACCAAAAAATTACAATAAGTAATACAATTGAATACTTTATTTAAATTAAACAGAAATTTATCTTTAATTTTTATATATAATCTGTTATGTAAAAAATCAAAAATCATGGTGTTTTTATATTTTTATATGCCTTAGACTTCTGTTGCATATATTTTTGCTTTATTTTTAACAGGACTGTGGGTGAACAAGAACAAATTAACGCTTAAGACTATACTAATTATTTGTTTTATTTAAATACGTTATTTAATTGTATTACTAATTAGTAATTTGTTTGTTAAATTTTCTTATACGAAGTGTTTTAGTGTTTTTCTCCAATTTTTATATACGAAGTATGCACATTCGACGAAAGGAGGTTTTATCGCCTCAACAACGATGCCAAGTTTTCAAAAGTCGGTGGGTAATTTTTTTGTTTAAAATATTTTTTGATAAAAAAAAGTAATTTTTTACTTTTAAGTTTTTTTCTCAAATTTTCATTCACGAGGTATACAAATATGGACATCAGAAGAAAGGGGGTTTAATCGCCTTTACAACGATACCAATTTTTTAAAAATTGGTTAGTAGTTTTTTTGCTTAAAATATTTTTTTTTTAAATGAAAAAAGGAATTTTTTCCTTTAAATGTGTTTTTTCCCCAAATTTTTATATACGAAATATGCAAATATGCATATCAAAAGAAAGAAGGTTAAATCACCTTTACAACGATACGAATCTTTTAAAAATCAGTTCAAAATTTTCTGAAAAATTAAGTTTTTAATTTTGAAGATCTGACCTTTGATCCGTTATAGGACCTGTAATATAAGTTTTCACAAAAAAAGTTATATACCATATAAATAAGAGAGAAAGGCGGACCACGCCTGTATTTTTACTTTCATCGCTTTTTACATGGAATAATTAAAAATAATTTTTTACCAATTTCGAACGTCGAAGGCCCATATCTCGATTACGGAAGCTAACTTCGAAAAACGGGGAACTTCGTTTTTTTTTACTTGTGACTCAGTCTCTTAAAAAAAGTTGGTTTGGTCCAATACCCAGCCGAGTGCTGTACAGTGTAATCACTGCTTTACTACCTCATCTTTCCCTGCCGCATGGAGAGTAGCCACTGTTACACCTATAGCTAAAAAACCGGGTGCCTCTTCCCCGTGTCATTTTAGGCCTATAAGCATTTTACCGGGACTTTCCAAAGTATTCGAAAGGCTTGTAGCTTAACAGGTTATGGATTTTATTGAGACGAATAAGCAGCTGAGTCGACTTCAATCTGGTTTCAGGTCCTATTATAGTTGTTCAACATTGATTGTAAAAGTGTTGGATGATATTCGTTAACCCTTCGATCAAGGTCACCTTACCTTGCTCTGCCTACTCGATTTTTCTAAAGCCTTCGATTCAGTTAATCACACATTGTTGTGTAATAAGTTAGCTAACTATTTTGGTTTTAGTGAAAGCGCAGTAAGGCTGCTTAAATATTACTTAAGTAATAGAATTCAAAAAGTTAAGTCTGGTAATAAGCTCTCTGAACTCGCCTTACTAATTTTATCAAGGATATATTTACGAGATGCTCAAATGCCCATGTACATGAGTATGCAGATGACGTACAACTACTGTGACCATATTTATGAAAGCCGAATACAGGACAAAAAATAATTTGGAAAGTTTTTTCCACACTGTTTTCCCTGATACAGCATCCTTATAGTAACATCAAATATTTGTAGGATAATTTTGTCGAGATTTTTACCCCGTAAAATTTGTTAAATTTTAGTATAATAAAGTGCTTTTTTAAGTCGTAAGGCTAAAGTATGTATGTTCGACCTTTTTTTTTTGAAAGAGAAGCAAATGAGTAGCACTTCCCACTCGCACTTTATTATACTCAATTTTAATGAGTTACAAAACTGCAAACAAAATTTTTTTCTAATTAAAAAGTTTGAAATTTTGGTGAAACATTGCACAATTAGTTTTTATAGTTTTTACACAAAGTTGGAATTTGGTATATTATGGTTTGTTAGGAAAAAAGTAAATAAGAGAAGAGAGAAGAATCACGATTTTAGAATTACTTCGCAATCTGTTCCTTCAGGCACTAAGAAAAAGTTGGTTCAGAGTTTAATAGTTCCACTTGTTACGTATTCTGAGGTAGTTTATAGCAATTAGGGTGAGAATCTCCCTAATCACAATTTCGACGTCGCTTTTAATTTTGCCACGAGATACGTATACGGTAGAAGAAGTTTGACCATCTGTCTTTGTTGAGAAACTCGATACTTGGTTGCGACATACAAAATTTCTTAAATTCCAGGAACTGCATCTTTTTTTTAAGCTTATTACTCATGCGAAACCGGAATACCTATATGTATGAAAAACTCATATTTTCTAAATGCTCTCGCTCTCTAACTCTAATTTTGCCCAAGTTCAATTCCTTATGCTCATCCCGACTGTCGTTAACGCTGTTACAGCCGCACTCAGAGTCGCTAAATGATTACTTAAGGAGTCCCTCAGTAAAGATTTGAAAAACTTCCCTCTCAGAGTCAGTTAATGATTCGTTAACGGCATTTAATGAACATTAAAGTTAAGTAAACAAAAACCTTTACTTAACTTTTTGACGAAGAATTTTGAAATTTTTTGTTTGTTTTCAATAATTTTCAATTTCGCAATGGCCCAGTGAGCAGAGCACTTGCGTGCCATTCAAGAGATCCGAGTTCAATCCTCGGCAACGAATTTTTTTAAATACAATTTTTTTAAGTTGTATTGCTTAAAAAATTCATATTTTGTATTTTATTTAACGTTTGGATATTTTTTTGATTCTCCTTTCACTTTCTTCACGTTTCTCAAATTTTTAGTTTTTCCAGTTTTAAAAAAAGAATTTGTTTCATTTCGTTTAGTTTTTAGAAAACTTATTGCTAAACGATAAATAATAATAACACTATTGGCACATTTTTCAATTAGTTATTCGAAATACAGAAAAGGGCTTTCAATTTAGTTGCCGAAATATAAAGACTTTTGTCTCTCGAAAGACTGAGGTGAGTCTAAAGACAGATGCCAGAATTGGCCTGTTATTGGTCTTGTTTGTCTTTTAGCAAACAATTTAATTTAATTAAAAAATAATTTTCTCTTTTTAAAACAATAAAATCTATAAATCAAAAGAAAATTAGATCAAAAAAGCAAAAAAATTCAATAAATATTGTTTATAAAAATTAAACAAGCCATTGCGTCTATTGAGCCAGTGCGCGCAAAACGATATAAATATTTATTTTTATATTTTATTTCAAACTGAACGAAAAAAGTGAGTGATGCCACAAAAATGAAGGGCCGCAACTGGGGCCATACTTAAATTTTTTATTTAATAATTTTTAACTCTGAGAGGAAACATTAATTAACAGATTTAACGATCATTAGTTAAGTGCCCATTAGAGCTAATTTAAGGAACGTTTCTGAGTGCGGCTGTTAGACTTTGGAACTCCCTTCCTCAATCGCTAAGGAAGTCATTGTCTAGAGCAGAGGTTCCCAAACTTTTTTTCTCGTAGACCCCTTTCAAAACATTACTGGTTTCGGTGGACCCCCTGCAGCTACATTTCTAACATATTCCCAGAGCTCGTAAAAAAATGTGAAAATTAGATCTAACGATGTAAATTTGTTCCAAAACTAAATTCGGAGTGGCTAAATAAAAATAAAAAAAATGATTTTTTGATCACACACTTTCCAGTTTAATAAACAGAGCTCGTAAAGCCATCAAAGTACTCTCGTGCTCGGAGGAGTTATATTTTTTAAGAACACTGCGAGCGCTAGCGTTATTTACATTCTCTTCTCCATAAACTCCTCACATGTTCGGCTCACTCATGAATTTGCATGTGACGTATTTGCAAAATAGTTTATTTGTGTTGATGGCATAATTTTTATTTTTATCACAAAACATACAAAAAGTATGTATATGTATACAGTCCACAACTCTGTCAAATGTATGATAAGCAAAGCAATAGAATTTCTCTGCGATCTTGTTGCCTGACTACGAAGATTGCTGCTATGAATATAAAATCACATAAATTGTAATACTTAAGTACAGGCAAAAATGTACAGAACTGAAATAAGAGATCAATGCGTTTATCTCTTGTAGACAAATATACGTACATACAGAGAAATTATAATACAGTTTACTAGAAGATCAGTAAAACAATGCATTTTTGCTACGATCTTTTTGCTTAGGTACATTCATGCATAAGCATAATACAGACATACAGTTGTCTGATCCTTGTGTTTACAAAGGAATAAACTAAACAAAGAAAACACGTTAAGTGCATATGCAGTAAAACATAACGAGCTCCCACATAAATATGTACATTAAAGTGGTCCAAAAATGTATGTAAAAAAATAAGGTCGGATTTTTAATGCCGCCACCCCCTAGGATTGTTATATACCGAAAAAATATACCCATATTTTTTTATTTTGAAATAAAAAAATATTTAGGGAGTGCTCAAAGCGCTCAAAGTTTTCCATGTTTTTTATATGGAGAAAAAACAATTTTTCGCAGAAATGGTATAAAGCTCTTGAAAATCAATATTTTTCGATTTTTCAATATGGTTCTCTTCAGGAGACTTCCAGTATTAATATCCAACTGTTTATTTAACCATTTTTTATGATTAAAGATTTTTTATTGGTCCCCCATTGCATTTTCTAAGGGCTTTGGAGGACCTATAAAATATAGTTACCATGAAAAAATTGTTAAAGAAACAATTGAGTATTATTACTGGGAATCTCCTGAAGATAAGTAAAGTTTTCCGATCGAAAAATATTGATTTTCAAGAATTCTACACTATTTCTACGAAAACATGTTTTTTTCTCCATATAAAATACATGGAAAACTTTGAGCGCTTTGAGCACTCCCTAAATCATTTATAAACTCGTGCAAAATGGTTTGTCTCGTTTCTAACTCGGTTGCCATTTTTAACTCAACTAGAAATCAAATTCAAATGAAATTTCTTCTACGTCCAACTAAGGTCATGGTCAGCTTATGGTGTTTGAATTTCAAAATATTGAAATCTTTTTTGGTAAGTTATAAGCTTCCCAAAGTGTCGCAGCTTTGGTGTGTTCACCCTTTATATGTATAATAAAAATAGGGGGTTTATACCTTTACTATTTCCGCGAATTATTAAAACAGTCTGGTTTTATCTGTGGCTACAAAGAGGGATGAGATGAGTTTACTGTGTATTTCTGTCTGCGCAGTCTGCGCATGGGTCCGCTTGTATTCCCTAATTGTATATGTATGGAAGTAATAGTTCAACTCAAAAATGTTTATGTAATGTATATTTCGGCAATCTTTCTCGGAGATTGAGCTAAATATTATGCAATAGCAGTATAAATATTACCTTTCGATAATAATCTTCGGCGCTAGATGCACTATAATTAGCCCGACAATTTTATCTATCTGCTCTCCGAGGAAGGACAATGTCCAAATAGTATAATTCCTTAGCGATATCGGTAACTAACGAGGAAAACGCTTTTTCTACGCATTTTGCTGTTATCCCCCTACGAATTTCTGGTTACACAGTTTAATGTGAAATTTTCTACATTCACCGCGGAAATAGACAAAAAGTTGTATCAAAAAGTTTGATTCGACATGCATACATATAGTTCTTAGCATAACTTTATACACTCACACTCAAGATTTCACCATTTATTTTAAAAAATTTTTATTTAAATTATTGGTTTTTAAAGGTACAGCATATTTTTAACAGAAACCATATAAATCCAAGTTTCAATCTTTGTGCAAAATTAAAGAAGAAATCAACAAACTTTGTAAAAATTTCGAGCTTTGTAATTCGATTTTTTAGAAACATTTTGAGTATGCAGTTTCGTAGCCCAATTTCAAGTACCATTAATTTTTGGGAATTTTTTTCGTCGAAGGTGTTGCTCATTTTCTCCATATAACAAAACAATCGTCAAAAATGTTTTGTATGGAATAAAATAGAATAATAATAATAGAATAAAATAAAATAAAAAAAATCCAAAAATCAGTTACTTTAAACTTGCAGTAAAATTGAATGGGCTAAAAACTGCTTACTCAAAATATTTCTTAAAAATCGAATTAAAAAGTTCGAAGTTTTTACGAAAGTTTGTTGACTTTTTAAAAGGGATGATTATTGAAGATAAGCTAAGTTGGCTTTGGGACAATCTTGACCACCTTATATATAGAAATGTTAAGCCCGTCTTTTGCTTTAAAACGTCGTTAAGATGAAGTCTCTACGATGCGCAGAACCCGCGATATAACGATTTGTAGTACAAGATTAGTCAGAATCACGAAAAAATTCAAACTTTGACAGATCATATCTCCGAAGAAAAAAACTTAAAAAAAATTCCTCGAACACGTGTTAGCTTATTTCATGTATAGAACCCATAAAAAAAAATTTAAGCCAATCGAAAGAGTGACACCAAATTTGGTGTCCGGTATGAAAAAGAATGCCTCATACAAACATTTAAGCAAGGTGATTGTATTAATTATATTATTTGAATTATAAGCGTAACCGTGGCTTTCGGAATGGACGGGATCCCGAGCAGCCCGAATGTTGGGTACTGGTTAGGTGGGCGGTCCGAAAGGACGAGTTCCAGAGCCGCGCTTCCTATACCGTTGATGTGGACTTTATTCCCAGTCGCATCTACGCTTCAGGCTATAAAGTAATTTGTGATCAGTCGGTAAGTACTAGTTTCCGAGCCAGTCTAACTTTAGAAATTGGTGTTATACAGGCGGTCTGAAAGGATGAGATCCAGAGCCGCACTGTAAAGCGAATGGAAAGGACTAGTTTCCACGCCGACCCTCTCCACTGTTCTTTACGCGCTGTGGGCCGGATGGAAAGGACTAGTTTCCATGCCCACCGTCTCCACTGCTCTCTACTGGATCAAGCAGCAATCCTTTAAAACAAAGTTTTCATCATTTCATTCTATACATACATTTTGCAGTGGGTGTTGCGGCAGATTCCTTTCAGCGAATGTTTCCCATAGGTTGCGGTGATAAACCCATCCAATTAAACGAACGTTTAATTATTTAACTCAATGTATTTAATATTAATAATGTACAAAAGGCGATTTAATTCACGGCAAGGAAAGCGATAGCGAAAACGAGACGTTGCAAAAAACGAATGATCGCAAAATCTTAGCAGAAAAACAAATATCAAAACAAAAAAAAAGGCGGAAATTAACTTGACAGCTCATATTAACCCTTAGGCAAGAACGCAAGCTTAACCTTTATGCATGTGCATGTATTAACACACATAACTAATACGCGTGCATATCTGAATCCAACATACCGCCTCCCTTGAACTATCTTGATATGTTTCATTCAGAATTTACAAAAATTAAAATGATATCTACAATAACAATTTCGATTAGCATCGACAAACTAGATCTTATAAAGTTTCGTCACAAAATATATCTCCTTTCGTTGGTAGAATGTAAAGTTTCACTATCGGCCTGGCCAATTCTCCATTCGGCGTTTTTAATGTTACTACTCGTACACGTCCATCAGCGCCAGGATGGCTTAGGCTCACTAAAGATGAAGACACAATCACCTTCTTGTACGTTGCGGGAATGCCGCAGCCACTTGGTGCGACGCTGCAAATTAACGAGGTACTCATCTCGCCAACGGCGCCAGAAATGCTGCCTCATAGCAGAAATCGCCTTCCATCGCTGATGTAGACTTCCACAGAGCCCTTGACCTTCAGGCTCTGGGATCGATTTCAGCGGTTCGCCAATGATGAAGTGTCCAGGCGTTAGTACCTCTAAGTCGTCTACATTTGCGGAGTTGTCGCATAGCGGGCGGGAGTTCACACAGGCTTCTACTTCAGTCAACAGCGTGCTAAACTCTTCAAATGACAGCAAAGACTCACCCAAAACGCGTTTCAAGTGGTATTTTATGCGCTTGATTCCAATTTCCCCAATAGCCTCCCATGTGAGGTGCGCTAGGAGGGTTGAATCGCCATTCGATATTGGAGTGAGCGAAAAAGCAGCAAAGCCTGCTACCTGCCATGCAACGTTGGAAGCTGTTACGAAGCTCCCTTTCAGCGCCAACGAAATTGGTGCCATTATCAGAGAACATGACTTTACAGTGTCCTCTGCGGTTAACGAACCGTTTGAACGCGTTTAGAAAAGCTGATGCTGACAGGTCTCCCACGAATTCCAAGTGCATGGCGCCGGTGCACATGCAAACGAATGAGCAGATGTATCCTTTGGTAGATTTTGCACCAGCGTAGACGACTGCGGTGCGGGTAAAACAGCGGGCGTACGTACTCCGAGCGGCGGGTAGATCTCCTATTGATTGTGTGGCGACATGACGATTCAGACATGTGCATTTTACGCACTTATGGTAAACGGTGCGAACCAGGCTCCGGGCGCCAACAACCCAATAACGGCGTTGCAACACAACCTGTATTATACGGGGTCCCACGTGCAATTTCAGTTTATGAATATCGGCTACTATTGCTTCGCCAGCGGAGAATTCTTAGGTAAAATAATAGGATGTTTCATATCAGGTGTAACTTCGCCTCCGATCCGTAGAACACCGTTTTCGTCGAGAAATGGATGCAAGCGCAAAATACTGCTGCGTAACGGAATAGACTTTTTTGCGCTGGAAAGATAAATCTCGTTAGAAAAAATAAAATGTTGTGTATACTTAATTAGACGGCTTTCAGCTTCGGATATCTCCTGACAACTTGGAGGACCACATCGTTTCCCAGCGGTGGATTGAATTCTCGTGCGCGCATTGTGGAGGAATCGTAGAACATACGCTATAATTCGACGCAGCTTTGAAAGCGAGGACCACTTCGTCATTATGGACCAATGACTGTCTGAGTCAGCGATGTGTACGCGAACCTTGCTTCGTACCCCCAACTCCGGTGAGTGCTGCTCTGACATACTTTTTTTCCAGCACTGTTCTGAACTCCTGGAAAGCTGGGACCAGCCCACCACAGCGGATGACCCACTAGTTCAGCTGGAGTTATGCCTCTTGAGGCACAATCTGCTGGATTCTCTTCAGATCGGACATGGTGCCAGCACTCAGGCGGTAGGACTTCTTGGACATCAGCAACACGGTTCGCAACAAACGTGACCCATCTGCTGGCATGCCCCTGCAACCATGCCAATGCAATGGTTGAATCCGTCCAAGCATACAGAGGGAAACGTAGATCGCTCCAACTATGCATCGCGCTTCGCACTAATTCAGAGGCGAGATGTGCTTCACACAGCCCGATACGCGGTAACGTTGTGGGTTTTATTGGTGCTACCTTGGATTTTGATAAGACTAGCGCAACAGTGACCTTGCCATCACTTTGAAGGGTGCGAGCGTACAAAACTGCAGCATAGGCGTGCTCCGATGCATCGGCGAAGACATGGAGCTCTGTAAACGATCCGACTGTTCCTAAGACGAGCCAGCGATTTACCTTTAACCTGGAAAGATGTTGCAGATCTGAGCGGTGTTGGATCCATTGCCTTGCAATTGTGTCAGGTACCGGATCATCCCAACCAACCTCAGCACGCCAAATGTCTTGAAACCACATTTTGGCTTTGATCGTTGGCGGAGCAAGCAATCCTTACGATCGAACAGAGTACTAGCGTCGGACAGGAAAGCTCTCTTAGTTAACCCTACAGGCAGGTTCTTGAGATTGACTGCTAACGTGAGGTAGTCTCCATCGGTGTTCCAGATGAGACCCAGTGCGTGAACGTCCTTACCGTCAGCTAAGTAGTGCGAAATATTCTTAGATGCGTTGGAGATGCTTTCGTTCAGTTAGACGCCCATTTACGAAGTTCGAAGCCCCCTTCGCTTAGGATCTCAGAAACATTCCTTTGCAACAATTTGAGCTCGTTATCGCACGATGCCCCAGTTAGCAGGTCATCCATATAAAAAGCCTTAAGGATGACGGCAACAGCTTTTTCACAACTTTTGAGCGAACACTTAGCAGTTTGTTGCAGTGATTTGACTGCCAACTGGGATGCAGCTGTCACTCCATACGTAACGCGTAACATTCGAAAATCTTGAATTGGTAATGACGGGTCACGACGCCAGACGATTCGTTGTAGGTCAACGTGCTTTGATGATACGCAAATCTGCCGGTACATCTTTGCTATATCCGCCGTTACAGCAAAGCGGTGCGTTCTGAAACGCATCAAAATTGAATATAAATCTGGCTGCAGTTGTGGCCCGACGAATAACACATCGTTGAGCGATTTCCCAGCAGTGGTTTTGGCGGAAGCGTTGAAAACGACCCTCAGCTTCGTGGTCACACTCGACTCCTTTATAATTTGGTGATGTTGCATATAATATGCCTGACTAGCTGCGGTGCATACGGGTTCCATATGATTCATAGCGATCAACTCCTCCATAAACTCATTGTAGCGTGAGCGTAAATCGGCATAACCTCTCAATGTGAAGCAAGCTGCGAACAGCAAAACTTCGGGACTCTCCCAAAGAAACATCAGGTTTCAGTGGCAACTCGACTATGAATCGACCATCAGAAGACCTTTGGTGTGTCGACTCGAAGTGCTCTTCACAAAAACGTTCTTCATGGGTGAGATGCGCCTTTCGCGGTGTTTCCTCTAGCTCCCACAATCTGGTGAGCGCACGATCCAGGAAAACATCACAGTGTAAAGACGGTAAACATGACGTTGGTGGACTAGAACCGTCAATACATCCGAACAGCGTCCAACCGAAGACCGTTCGCTGCGTCATTGGAGTGCCGGGTGGACCCTTGTGAAGTTCCGAGCATACGAGTCGGTCCATGACGTCCATTCCGACTAATATGTCTACTCTACCAGGCTTCATAAAGTGCGGATCGGCTAAGAATAACCCCTGAAGATGTTGCCATGCTGGGGCGTCAAAGGTCTGCGTCGGTAAGTAGCCTGTGATTCTCGGTAAGATCAGCGCATTAATAGAATAGCGTTGTTCTGAGCAGTAGGAGGAAAGAGAAAGTACTGTCTCACCTCTAGATCGGCCTCCTTGCGATGATCCAATCCCAGTGATGATCACCGTTGATGACGTCCTTGGTAGACCTAATCGTTGCACACACGCCTCCGTTACGAAAGAAGCGTGCGAACCTGAGTCGAATAGTAAACGAGTGTGTTGCCAACGACCGGCACAATCCTACCGTACCTTCACCAAAGCAGTAGCCAACAGCACGATCCTTTGCGTTGCGGGTAGCGGGTTAGGACTGGAATTTAGACACGAGGAAACGGTGCTCGTCGGGGAATCAATAGCGGCTGAAGGGGTTGCATTTTCAGTCGGAGCAGCGACGTCAACGACGAAGTGAGCGGGGGTGTTGACGACGGATGAGGACGCGCTGTTATGCAGTAGCGTGTGATGACGCTGGTGACAAATTCGGCATGCGGACGTACTATTGCAGCATGACATGTAATGTCCAGGGCTTAAGCAGTTTAAACAAGCCCTGGAGTCCTTGAGGAATTTTGACTTAGCGGCCGAATCCAATCGATGAAACTTATCGCAAGCATATATCTTGTGTGCTCCCTTACAATATGTGCAGCCTGTACTGTTCGGTTCTGGTGTCGCGTGGAATACTTTAGTAGACTTGCCGGCTTTGCTCGCTGTAATCGATTTGCTCGCTGATGTTAATGAGGCTGCCGATGAAAGCATGGTTAACGAACGGCACCTTATTTCCAAAAATGTTGTTAGCTGTTCAAAAGTCGGAGGATCATCCTTAAGGAGGGAAAGCTCCCACTGGTTCCTTGTGTCAAAAGCGAGTTTGTTCACTATTTCGTGAACCAGCCAATCGTCCCAAAATTCTACGGCGCGACCTAGTTGAGCTCGCGGATATGTTGCTGAAATGCATCAAGCACATTCTTAATAGCATCCGCAGTGTCACTTGGGGCTTTACGAATCTCAGCCATTGCTTTTAAATGCGCTTCCACGATGACTCGCATGATTTTTAAGCGGGAATTAAGCAGGTCCCATGCTTCCTTATAATTGGCGTCGCAGATCTCGAAGCCACTGATCATTTTCAATGCATCACCTTTCAAACAACTGCGTAGATAATGCAGTTTCTGCCCGTCCGACAAAGTAGTGTAGGAGTCAACCAGTGACGAGAATGCGTCGTAAAAACTTATCCATTCTGTGGAATCCTCAGAAAATGACGGTAGTTCCATCTTCGGTAGACGTATTGCAGCAGACACTGGCGTTGAAGAGATTGCAGGTTGCGATGCCGCTTCCGAGCGACAATTCTGAACGCGGTTAAAATTCGCCAAACCTGTGGTGTACCACGTTTCGGCCTGAATGCGAAAATTTTCTTCTAACTCAGCATTGTCGGTTCCGAAAGAAATCTCAACTGCATCTTGAGCAATAGTAAAACGATTCCATTGCTCATTTAGTAATTGCAAATAACTTGTGATGCTTTCCACATCCATTGCAATTGCTTCATCCATACTTTTTGCCATATACCTCTTTATGGCATTGAGTGCAGAATCACGTGATTTAACTGCGTTTGACATTGCAATTTGCCTTTGACGTGCCCTTGGTAGTTAAAATTGTTGTAGCGTACTTGCAGAGGCCAATTCAAAGTCACGACTAAAAACTAGAATATTGCGCAGAATGTTTATTAAACGATTGCTTCACGATGATACAATCTTTTTAAATGCGGCTTAAACCCTTTTATTCAAAGTTGTTTTGTAGCAGAGGACACACAGTAGGTATTAATATTAAAATACATATGAGGTTGTACATGTACTTATGCACTTTGCGAGCGAGATGAGCAATCCGACGATAAAGGACCAGAATGTTGCGGCAGATTCCTTTCAGCGAATCTTTCCCATAGGTTGCGCTGATAAACCCATCCAATCAAACGGACGTTTAATTATTTAACTCAATGTATTTAATATTAATAATGTAAAAAGGCGATTTAATTCACCGCAAGGAAAGCGATAACGAAAACGAGACGTTGCAAGAAACGAATGATCGCAAAATCTTAGCAGAAAAACGAATATCAAAACAAAAAAAAAGCGGAGATTAACTTGACAGCTTATATTAACCCTTAGGCAGGAACGCAAGCTTAACCTTTATGCATGTGCATGTATTAACACTTGGGATAACTAATACGCGTGCATATCTGAATCCAAAAGTGGGGTATAATCGACTTTTGAATTGTTGTAAGCTGTTGCAGCTTCTTATATTTGCCGGCAGTTCGTTGTGAATTTTTAAACCTTTATGGTACAAATCTTGTTTTAGGTTTTCCGTTTGGCAGAATGGGAATTTAAATTTATCCCTAACTCTTGTTTTACAGGTGTGAGCGTCACTACTATACCTAAAGTGGTCACTCAAATATTTCTGAAGAGTCCATTCTTATATATGTATATAACAAGTAATTTTTAGCAAAAAAAAAACCGACTTCAACTCCCATATAAAAATATATATATATATATATATCTCATGATCCGCTGATCGGATCTTAACGAGATTAGTATGGGACCACTCTGAGACACTACCTTTCCGATGCATGAATTCCTAGATTTTTCTAATATCTTTGTCAGAGTGCACAATTTAAACATGTTAACGATTGAAAACTATTTTCGTTTCAGGTACAGAGGAAAGAAATCTCCAGATGCAATACCTGCTGAAATTTGTTGGTGGTATAAAAACACCTTTGAAGAAGAGGAAGTCGAGGAAAAAGAGGAAGAAGGGGAAGACAAAGATGAAATTCCAGAATATCTGTTGGACGAAATTATCGACCTTTCTGATGATGATGACGATGACCAAGATATTAGAGAGAGCAGTGATGTTGATCCACAGCCGCCTGCTAAACAGCAACTGGTCAAATCATTAATTTAATTTATTTAATTTTTTTACTTAAAACTTTTCATAACTAACATTTCAAAATTATATTTTTTTCCATATTTGTATAATTTCTTTTTCAACGTTTCTTCAAAACCAACACTGAAAATATTGGTACATAAGAAATGAGAAGCAAATTAATATTAAGCTGAAAAACGCAAGTTTTGTATTATGATTGTTTTCTTTTCAAATAAAAGTTATTGAAGAAACTGAGAAGCATATTATAGATCAAACAGAAAGCAAAAAAGACTTAGTTTTGTGGAAAATATGTTCAAAAAGCATGAAAAAAAATTTCCAACATTTTGCTTCATAAGCACTACAAAAATTTTCTAAATCAATTTTTTTTTTTAAATTTTAATTGTTGCACAGGTCTCTAGCAATAATTTGGCTTTAGCAGATTGAAAAAATATCAATTAGTCGACGAGTTATAGCCAAAAAACCATATAAACAATATGCTGAAAATCGGCATTCGACTGCAAAGTTCGAAGGTCGATTAAAAAAAAATTCGAACTAACATAAACAAACGCCGCGAAACGGGTCTTCTAATTTAGCCCCTTTTTTTACCCCTCACTCTCAGAATCGACCTAACTTTTGCTAACCTGAATTTGTTCCACAGTGTTATTGTTGAGTACACATTAGAATATAATTGCATATTAAAATACATACAGACAAGAAAAGTTAACAAAAGCAGATTATTTAATCTTACTTTAGATATATACGAGTGGATAGAAAAATAAAACAGAAGTAAACATAAGAAATAAAATAAAAACAAGTAAGAAAGTCTATGTTCGGGCGGGGCCGAACATTAAATACCCGGCGCAAGTATTACATATATGCCTTTTCACCTTTCCGAAAGCTACCGCTACATGGTAAGCCGGGGTGTATCAATTTTGAATAAATTAGCGTCCTTAAATTTCGAAATATTGACGTTTCGAGCATTTCTAAAATTTACCGTTATATGAAAAGCCGTAATTTTAGTCCGATTTCAATAATTTTGAACGTTTTGCTTTTATGTGGCAAGCACAAGCAAGTACAAATTGGTAGAACGGTTACCGAGATACATATATGTGATCATAAGTGGGCGGTGCCACGCCCATTTTCCAAAATTTTATGATAAGCGTATTTCCTGATAAAGAATTGTTGCAAGCATCAATTTTGAATAAATTAGCTTCAATATTTACGGATTTATCGAAGATTTCGTATTTCTCCAAATTACCGTTATATGGGATGTGGGCGTGGTTATTGTCCGATTTTTAAAATTTTCGGCCATTTGGTATCCTGTACCAAGGCCAATAACTGTGCCAAGTTTGGAAGAAATCGGTGCAGCGGTTGCCAAGATATACACATGTAACCATAAGTGGGCGTGGCTACGCCCATTTTCCAAAAATTTATAATATTCTTATTTTTCGTCTAAAAATTATTGTAAATATCAATTTTGAGTGAATTATCTTCAGTAGTTACTAAAATATCGCAGTTTTCGTATTTCTGGAAATTACCGTTATATGGGAAGTGGGCGTGGTTACAGTCCGATTTCGCCCATTTTCAATACCAACCTACCTTGGATTAAGGGAAACCTACATACCAAATTTCGTTGAGATATCTCAATTTTTGCTCGAGTTATCGTGTACACGGACGGACGGAC